CCTAATTCCCATTATTTGGATGTTAAGTCTGGTAATTTCTTTGATAATATTGTGAATCTTTCCACTTTTGTACATTCTTTGTACGTTCCAAGTTGAAATCTTTAGGCACCCGGGGATTCTTCGCCGCTCTGCCCACTGAAGGGCTGCCGGGGACTAAGGGCCGTTTGTAATATTGTTTCTGCCATTTTAAGTATACTAGGGAGTTATAATGAGGTGGTTTCCCCTTGCCTTCGTCATCGCTGTGTAAGTGTCGATACAGTTGTTACAACCACGCCACTTAGTGTCTGATTCTCAACCATATCTGGCTACCCTTACTTAGTTTTGCCTGCAGGTCGATGCAGTTACCAGACTGTGGCACGTGGAGCCATAAGTAAGACCTAACTGCCTTGTGAGGACCAGTTCTTTGAACCCACCTCCAGTCTATGACTCTTGGTGCGACCGATTCGAACAAAAGGTGCTACCTGTACAACACAGTCCATACGCCCCAAAAATATACTTTTCTAATTTTAAAACATTAAATTATAATGTTTTGGGTTGAAATAGTAATTAATAATATAATAATAATACCAGGTTAGTGGTTAATTTGACAAAGGCAAAACCCGATTTTGATAGAAATACAAATAGAATGAAATATAATAGTTATAAACTCTATTAAAACCATAATTATGACTGAACATGACTTACTCATGTACTCAACTACGTATGTTTGCGTTTGATTAGAAATTGTACATACAAGTCTTTCGTAGGACTTAATGACTAGAACAAGTTTTAAATAACGGATCCAAAGTTAAGAATCGTTAACGAGTATACAAAAGCAACCGAATTTCACACCACTAGTCGGAACTTTTGTTTTCTAATTACGTACTAGTTAGGGTTAGTGGGGCTAATAGTGGTTGTCTTTGCAATCCAGATATTAATCAGGGTGTCTCATTAGCAAGAAATAGCTTTATTACGTCTAAACGGTTAGTGCTAAGCAAAAAATAAAAATAGTACTGTGTACTGTACAAAAAAAGTACAGTGGTTTCTTAATGTTCCGATCTGTATAAACTAAAATTTTCTTCAAGTATACAATCAGCCCTGTGCTGTATCACTCACGTTAACTTTAACGTGCATGTTATCCGTCAAACACGTTATGTGGCTCCGACTGGTGTGTTGTATTAGTCAAACCGTTATATTATAACAAGAACATGCTATCATGACGATCGTTATATTAAGAAATAGCGCTTCAGAATAACAGCATAAAATCACATGCCGCTATCGAACTTAACGTGCGTCCCTCGAATTTAAACTCGAAGGAATAAATACAACAAATGTGTTTAATTAGAGCGAAGTTTTGTCTTTTAGCTATAATTTGTTTTTAATTTAAAAGAAAAATATGTCTTTTGGTGGTCTTGAGTGGTCTGATTAGAACAATTATTAAATGGTCTTGAAAATAAATTTTATTTTCCTCCACAAACTCTACTAAATTTTCAAATTGTTTGTGGATTTTTTTTCCTCTTCTGTACATGCTCCGTTGAAAGTGTTTGAGAAGATAGGCCTAGAACAGTAACGAACGAAATTGAAAGTGAATGCAAATCATAAACAAAGACAAGTATGGTACTAGGTGGGCCAAATGGTCAAAACGTGCACATGTGATGCATATATTTTAGATGCTTCGATGGTTTGATGTTAACTCTCTCTAACTAATAGACTATTCGTATGAGGGCATCTCACTTTATGCATCCAATATGTTTTTTTTAACGTTTGTTGGATAACTGGGTCGGAAACGCATACGTTAACTCGGAGATAGAGCACACCTCGGTTGTGTTGCTGCGTTATCGAAAATGTTATCCTGAACTGTTAAGTTGCCATAACGAAAAGATACTATGACACACGCTGGCTGCGTTGTTTTTAAAAATAAAATTAACAAAAGACGACACAAAACGAAGAAAAAAAAAGACGCAACATACTGTCTTCTTGTAAAGCCTAGATGTCATAACATAGTTTTCTTTTGCGATTATTTCGTACTAAAAAAAATATTATTTTGTAACATGCGTGGGTAGAGAACGTTGTCGGTGCTCAATTTGTGCCAACCCTGCATATTCTTTTTAGGATTTGCGACTCGAAATTAGGGAGTTGACAGAACCGACACCGAACCGAGACAAATAAGAATTCATCAGTAGATAAGTATTTTAAGCACGGACTAGTTTTGGTTATTAAATTCTGGTTATCACTCGCGCGTCGTTTCTTGCCGACAGTGTCGCAAATCATAGGTTGAAAGAGCGCGGTATTCACGAACTTGCAATCCGAAGTCTGCCATCTTGAATGAGATTAAATGTTAAGTGTTATTCAATGTTCAAGACGTTATAACTCATGGACTCACAGAGCGGCATCAACACAAAAGTACCACACAACACAGTGATACCTAGGCCCAGAACCAAATTTTCTTTATTTCTGAATTCTTCATTATATTTGTAATAATTTGATACCTTGGTTTCGTTGATTTGCTTTTATGGTGGACCGGCAATTATAAATTTTCTTGCGAATAGTCAAACTTGTGAGAGTATTTAAAAACATTTATTGTCAGAAACGGTGAGAGATGGAAGAAAAGGGTAACAGCTTGATTGAATTACAGTTGAAAATCAAATTTCAACTTTGTTATTAAGCATTATTTTGAAATTGGTCCATGTTTAATTGGTAGCATATTGGAATACTTAAGTATTAAAAAAAAATACGATATTTGCTTGAAATTACAAAAAAAATATATTAAATAAGTTATCATTACAATTTTTTGATGAAGTCGTAGTAGCAATGATGTTTTGTTTCAGAACTCTATATTTGGTAAATCAAAAACCAATGAAAGAAGTACATTTTTGCTGAAACGTAAATGTAAAAAAAGAAAGTAATCATCACGGTAATTCGATTTTTAAATAAATGTGTTAAGAATGTTGAACCTTCTGAAAAGCGATTAACGATTCAGTATCACATAAATACGAAAAGGGTCTGTCTGCCTTCTTGCAAATGAGCGATATACATATCTGGTATCTGCTATATTTATTGATTACCCCATATAATTAATTTGAATTGTTATTAACAGTTTTAGAGAAAAATAAATTCTTACTATGAGAAACAGTTAATTTACAAAAGTTGAGGGAAAATATTTGCATGAATGATTAAAATATGTAACTTCTCATATTTGAAGAAATCACACTGACATCACTTTGTGTGATACACCTTTCAAAATTGGTTTGAAAAATGAATCGTATTTATCGTATTTAATTTATACATCGCATTTACTAATATGGATCGTATTTAATAATATTACCGCAACAACTACGACTATGAGCGGCTGGTACAATATACACCCCGATCTCACGCCAATGTGCTCTTTTTCGTCCAGAGGCAAACATCACTTCGCCCACTGCCTCATCGTCATTGATAATGTCCACCGCAGTTGTGGACGAAACATCAGGAAGAAATTCCCATGGACCACGGCTTCAAAGCCCGAAAAACATTTCTATATGTGATTTCACCGACCGTGAAAGCCTTCATAGGCATTTTCCGAGTTATGTACATTAAAACAGTGTATTGTTTTTTTTTTAGTATCCATCAAATCAAATATGTTATTGAAAAAGCGGATATACCTTCCCATAAAAATAGTTTAATTGAAAATGTTGTTGTTGTTTGTGGGGTTGTAGCTCTGTCCCTGTCCGATAATTTGCCAGAATTGATAATGTTCGCGATACAAGGCGTTAGTTTGGGTTAGTTTGGGTTGGTTGATAACGTAGCCACTGCCGTAACACCAATGTAGAATCTAATATGCCTGATATCATCCACCAATAACAAATAGACATACTTTTTTACAACTTTAATGCAAAATTGTAGCAGTACGCACCTTAACATCATGTTTTACGAATCGAACCAATTTCAGACAATAAACACGTAAAGAACTTTCTAAAGTTTTCCAGGAATTTGTAGGATTTCACGGCCGGACTCCGGAGTAAAATATTGTTTTCCGGGCTTGTAAGATTTAGAAGCTGACATTTCGGCTACAACTGCGACATACATTATCAAATTTCGAAGTGATCTTCCATTGTGACAACTCTGACTGATTCAACTCTTTTTTTTTGGTTTGCCCGGCGGCGGCTGAAGAATAAAATTTTTCTCGAAGACACCCGGTGTTCCGTGACACCGGGTAGTGTTGGGTTTCTAACGAATCAAACCCCCCAAGTTTTGGCTGCAAGTTTTCGGGGGTTATCCTTTAAAATTGTAGCCCTCTGTAAGAATGTATCAGCTCCGGCATCCGTATGCCCTCACATCACATTATCTCCATGCCAGTATGGGCATTATACTAATGTCACACAAGCACTGCACCAGCCCTACTTCCATCGCACTACGTTGACACTAATATTTCACACTTGCAACAATTTGCAGCTTACTGCTTTTCCTATTGCCCTGTTGGGTCATCTGGTGCCTGGGTCTCTTTTTCTTGGGCCTATCATCCTCTGGTGCGTAGTTCAGCGAAGGGGTGGTTTTCGGCCTTCTCAAAGGTCGATACTGCTTTCCTTTGTAGAAAGTCTCTTAGGGGTCCACTCCAGGTCCCTGTAAATTTGATAATTGCGTACAAACCAGGGCGCATCTATGGCCATCCGCAGAAGTTGATTTTCTATGGCCTGAAGCCTCTTCAGGTAGCTTTCTGCAGCATACCCCCACACTGACTTCACCTGACACAAATACCTGACTTCATGTCTGCATTGAACATGTTCTCGTCTAGGTTGATGGAAACAGTCTTCCACTAGTTGTGAGGTCGGTGCAATGGCAACATTTTTTTGGACATCAAACTAGACACCAAAAGAAGTGCTATTGCAGGTTTTGCCAAATCGCTGCTATTTCTTTTCTTTTCTGGTGGAAACCGTTTCCTAGTTATTTCAGCTATAAGACTAGTTCATTCAAGTTGAAGATCAAAAAGGAAATCTCAACTCGGAAGCGATGATGATGTTATAATATGTTTATATTTACAGGGTGACAAAATTCAGACGATGTTTGAATCTGCAGATGAGCAAATTCTACGTGAAGCGGAAGCATTGGCCCATGAAGCAAAGTCGAGTAGACAGTTTACAGACGTAAACAAATTTACCCTAAAATGTATGGTATGCAACATACTTCTGAAAGGGCAAACGGAGGCTCAATCTCATGCGAAATCAACGGGGCATACCAATTTTGGCGAAGTATAAAGAACAGCACACCGTAATAGGAATTCTGTAAATGTTTTTGATTATATTATTTTGATAAAATAGTTTTTTTCGAGAAATTGCAAATAATCTTTATTATTATTAGAAATTATTTTTTGATTTTTATATAATGTGTACCATATCACTTTTAAGCCGGTATGTTTAGTCGATCTTCGGAACTTTGCCGGATGTTGTTTTGCGGATAGCTGAGCGTGCCGTCGTCGACGCGAAAGCAACGGGTTTTGATGCAAAGCTGTTCTTCGTCAGGTGGAATCGCCGACGATTCTCCCATAGAGTGAGCATGTGCAATATCGCTATTCTGGTGGCACCCGCCGCGCGCTTTTGCGGTGATTTATTAATTAACCGATAAAAGTTCGGCACTGCTTGCTGTCTAGTTAGCTCGTAAAGTCGGTTTAAAAATCGGCGCTGGAACGTCGTCAAAGGTAGAAAAGATCATCGCTTTCCACTACGGCTAGTCGCCTCAAAGGATAGGATATTTTATAAATAAATCCCAAAATATAGTTTTTGTCTAAGAAAAGACATATTATCAGTGAAAACTGTTATTAACATTGATAAACTCTACCAGTAGATTCCCAAACCTCTTTTCTAAACATTAAAGAAACGTAATGCAGTAATAACTTTGTTTATTATTATTATTATTATTTCAACAACACATCATACATACATGCTTGAATTTTTTTCACCAAGTCGGGACTGACAATAAAATTCATTTTGCACAATTTCCTTTGAGAAACGCAAGTATTTTCTGAAATCGGCTTCAGTAAATTTCTCTAAGGTACTTTCCATATCTCGAATATACCTGAAAATAATACAATTATTATTTGCAATTGCATATCATGCTTGTTGATGTTTTCTTTACGTACCTTTGTGTTATGTTCAAATCGAATTCCAAGTCTAAATTATCCCGTACATTACATAGCGAGCGATATCTATATATTTAAAACAAAAATAGCATAAAAACACGAGAAGTTGAGAATTTTCGCTCACAAATTAGCTTTGACGATTGTTCGGAGATGCCTAAACCCATCTACAAATTACCAGCGCATCGCCCAATAACATTAAAAGGCGTGTGCGTTAGATACCCAACTGATCGGCTGTGCGACCAAAATTGCCTCCAGCGAATGTCGGGTCTCGACTAAACATACCGGCCTTACATTTTGTACACAATTATTGAGGTAAAACTTTTTTCAGATTTGTTCAAGTTATTGTCATAAATTATATGGGAAGTATTGCAAATTATGTCTTACTCGTAATGAAGCATTTAGGCATTACCTAATCTTTTGTTTGGTAAAATACTCTGGAGTTTTCAAGCAAAAAAAATATTTTCAGGTCAAGCACGATATTTAAGAAAATGTTAAATGGAAATTGATGATCATTTGCATAATATACATTTTTGTATTATTGAATTGTAATAGTTTAACATTTTATCATATTTAATATAATGACATGTTTTGTTTTGTAATGTGCGTTTTTACAACATTTACAAAAGTAATCAGTGAATAAACTATTTTCAAACTTTATTTCAATTATCTTACTTGTTGCTTTCCAAAGTATCGACAAGATTTGTGTTCAATAGTAGATGTTGGTATTTACTACAGAGCTTGTTTTTCAGTTTAGTGCTTAGTTAGCAGTTTAAACTTAGCAGTGTTTCTCCTTGTATCATAATTGGCGACTTATTATCGTTGAAATGTCAAGATCAGATCATATGTAACCTGATTTGATTGCACCCATAGGTCAATTTTTGGGTATTTGGATAGTTCCTTTTTAGTCTTCTCCTGGGCTTCTTCTTGTCAATATTCTCCAACGTGACATACCCCATAAGTTGGACATCATCATGATTATATTCAACTTCATAACTCCCGGCTACGTCTTCCCATGCGACTCTTTCATAATCAATCTCACACTCGTCTCTTACATAATCATCCATAGGAAATCATATCTTGAACAACGTCTCAGGTATTTTAGGTTCATTTTCTTGATAGTGCTTAAAACTTCACACCCATTCCTGTTCATTCTACTCAACATCTCTATATATACAGGGTTGCTCATTAGTGCGTCAAAGTGCTATATCTCAGTAAATATGAACTTTACAAGAAAATACGTCCTACGAAAGTTTTTCATGTTTAAAAGGTCCACATTTTAAAATTACTTTCCAATATACGGGGTGTATCATAAACGTGTGGTAGTTACCAACTTTGGTTTTTTAAATGGAACCGCCCCTTTTTTCATTCATTTTCAGATTTGTCGTCAAAATTTAAGTTAAGTTTGTGTCAAACGTTTTACCTGAAAAATTTACGATTTCCGAGTTACTCGTAAAAATGTGAAAGTTTTGACAGCTACTGGGTTCCACAGAAATCGATGCTGTACACTACCCGCTGCGAATTTTGGAAAACAGTTTTCAGCGA